GGGCTTCAGACATTCCGATTGTCACTTAAGTGGTTCACAGATGTCAAGATAAGCGTAGTTAACACATTGCGTGGGTAGGGTGGAAATTACAGACCTTAGTTACTTATTACAAGTCGCAAGGGCCAAGATGGCGTGGGTTTGGACTGCTTGCCTGTCACATCAGAGTTTCAGAGAGCAGTTTCAACAGAAAGCCGAGGTATGGTTGAGGCAAGCAGTTTTATGGGGCTTTTGCCATGTCACAGTATAAAAAGCAGGACTAGGCATACCAAGCGGGGGAGGAAACCAAACATTTTAAAAACATTAACACCTGCAGTTTTCCTGAATTGAATGTGAAAGATGATCCTGATAGACCGAATAAAGACACTTGCTCTCCGATGTGATGTTGGACAAGGGAATATTCCTTCATTTTCTCCTCTGATGAGATAAGCAGCAGCAGGAACCAAAGGTTTAAGAAACATGTAAAGACATCATTTTGTCTGACACTTAGCATTTTATATTTTCCAAGATGGACTCTGTTCTATAACCCAGGCTGGAGTGCAGCGGCGCCATCTCAGCTCACTGCAACCTCCATCTCCTGGGTTCAAGCAATTCTCCTGCCTCAGCCTCCCACGTAGTTGGGATTACAGGCACCGCCACCACACCTGGCTAATTTTTGTATTTTTAGTAGAGATGGGGTTTCACCATGTTGGCCAGGATGGTCTCGAACTTGTTAGCTATAGTGAACCCCAAGTTTCTCTTCAAAGAATCAGTATGTCCATATGTTCAGCTCTCTTATTCCTTAATTCTCTATTTTAAAGCTTAACTTCCTTGTAGTTTCAGTTCTAACCAGTAGTTCACATCTGCTCCCCTGGTCCTCTGCCCTGCCCTGACTCACCCCAGTCACCTGGCTTGACACCCACTTACCTGCTCTGACCTGCCTATAACCATCCTTCCAGCCAAATACCCACCCCACTTTGGCTAATCCCACTGCTCCCTTTAAAACAGCCAATCAGAATTACACTAGACGGTGGGGTCTAACCCTAGCCAATAGGGGAACAGCCCAGCAGTAGGGGCAACCTCCATCAGGCTTTTAAGCCCTTCCCCTCCTTGTCCAGGCATGCGCTCACCATTCTTCCATCTGTGAGCCGCATGCTTCTATAGAAGCAAATTGCCTTGCTGAGGAAATTTATATTCAAATGCTACTTCTTTTGTGGCATCAAAAATTCTACTTCGAACAAACTCCTGATCTTATGATCCACCTGCCTTGTCCTCCCAAAGTGCTGAAATTATAAGCATGAGCCACTGAACCCAGCCCCTCACTTGACATTTTTATGAACAAGCTGGAAGACAACCTGCATTAATGCATCTGTGCAATGGTATGAATGGCCCAAGATCTCACTGCCCCAGGGTGACTTTGGGGAAGGAAGATCCAGGCAGCCCATTGTCACATGCTGTCCTGCCTGCCTCAGGCCTCCTGTCCTTCTCTCCCTTCTGTCCTTCAGACTAACCTCGAGGTCAGCTGTCACTGCTCTGGAAGCCCTCCACGATAGCTAATACTGAGTGTCAACTTGATTGGACTGAAGGATGCACAGTATTGATCCTGGGTGTGTCTGTGAGGCTGTGGCCAAGGGAGATGAACATTTGAATCGGTGGCCTGGGACAGCCAGACCCACCCTCAGTCTGGGTGGGCACCATCTAAGCAGCTGCCAGCACAGCTAGAATCAAGCGGGCAGAAGTTGGAAGGACCCAGCTTGCTGAGCCTTCACTCCCTTGCACAGCTTTTCTCCCGTGCTGGGTGCTTCCTGCCCTTGAACGTCAGACTCCAGGCTCCTCTTTGGCTTTTGGACTCTTGGACTTACACCAGTGGTTTGCCAGGGGCTCTCAGGCCTTGGCCACAGACTAAAAGCTGTGACTAAAAGTCAGCTTCCCTACTTTAGAGGTTTGGGGGCTCAGGCTGGCTTCCTTGCTCCTCGATTTGTGAACAGCTGATTGAGCGACTTCCCCATGTGGTGGTGTGAGTCAGTGCTCCTTAATAAACTCCCCTCTGTATACATCTGTCCTGTGAGTTCTGTCCCTCTAGAGAACCCTGATTAATACAACCTCCCTTTCCTGCCAGGCTGGGCTTCCCCCTGCCTCATTCTCTTGCCCTGTTGCCCAGGCTAGAGTACAGTGGCACCATCACAGCTCACCGCAGCCTCGACCTCCCAGGCTCAAGCGATTCTCCTGCCTCAGCCTCTGGAGTAGCTAGGATTACAGGTATATGCCAGCATGCCCAGCTAAAGTTTTTAGTTTTTTGTAGAGATGGGGCCTTGCCATGTTGGCCAGGCTGGTCTTGAACTCCTGGCTTCAATCGATCCTCCCACCTTGGTCTTTCAAAGCTCTGGGATTACAAGCATGAGCCACTACACCTGGCCTCACTCTATTTTTTAAATTAACATTTTTGTTTGCATTTATACAAAGTAATCCAGAGAGATCCCATGTACCCTTCATTCAGTTTCCATCAACGGTAACATCTCACAAAAATGCTAAATGTCGGCATATAAATTAAGCATTTAAATGTCATATATGCAAACACACAAAGATTTAATACACAGCCGGCCAGTTGTCTCCTTTGGGGTTATGGGCTGCTAATTGTATTTTATTGTACCAAATGCAGCTTTGGCCTCTTCAGTATCATAGCCAGGACACTGACATTGATATAATCAAGATAGTGAATATTTCCATCAGTATGAGGATCCCTGTTGCCCTTTTATAGCCACACCCACTTCTCTCCCTCGCCAATCCCTACTTAAGCCTTGGCAATTGCTAATCTAGTCTGTAATCAGATCCATTTAAGAATGTTATATAAATGGTATCGGCTGGTCCAAAGGTGGTGCATTATCTTGATTGGAGATTCACAGAGCAGGTCAAACTCCTTGTTCTACTCTTTCCCCCTTCTCATACTTTGCCAGGCAAGGTGGCTCACACCTGTAATCCCAGCACTTTGGGAGTCCAGGGTGGGTCGATCATCTGAGGTCATAAGTTCAAGACCAGCCTGGCCAACATGGTGAAACCCCATCTCTACCAAAAATATAAAAATTAGCTGAGCATGGTGGTGCATGCCTGAAGTCCCAGCTACTTGGGAGGCTGAGGCAGGAGAATCGCTTGAATTCATGAGGCGGAGGTTGCAGTAAGATGAGATCACACCAATGCACTCCAGCCAGGGGGACAAAGCAAGACTGTCTCAAAATAAATAAATGACTCATAGAGTGTGTAACTCTTGGGGATTGCCTGTTTGCAGTCAGCATAATTCTCTGGAGAGTCATTCAGGTTACTGTGTGGGTCAATAGTGCTCATTCCTTGCTGCTGCTGAATTGGATTCCACGATGTGGACGTGCCACAGTCTGCTTAACCATTCACCTGTTTAAGGCCTCATTGTTTAATCACCAGTGCCTTGTAGACAGTCACTGGACTTGCATGCGAAGTCCGTCCTGAAGAGCAACACTACTTGTGATTAGGAGCGTCGGCTGCGAAGTCTGACTCCTAACTCCAGAACTTGCTGTTCATGTGGGGTTGAGTCATCTACTTAACCTCGGTCTGCCTCAGTTTTCTCATCTGTAACATTTAGTTAATTCTCATAAGAAGTCTGTAAGTGCCCATCTTACAGACTCGTCATGAGAATTAACTAAATCTGCATGTTATGTGTTTAACCCAAAGTCTGGCTTATGGTAAGAACTCAATTACAGTTAAGTAATAACAATAATTAACACTATAATAACAATACTTAGTAACAGACATTCACTGAACTGAATCGAAAACCAAATGAGAACATTCACATTTGCAAAATATTCAAATCAGGGGGTTGTGGCACATTGTAAATGGAATAATTCGGCCAAGTGTGGTGGCCAAGGCCTGTAATCCCAGCACTTTGGGAGGCAGAGTAATTCGGCCAAGTGTGGTGGCCAAGGCCTGTAATCCCAGCACTTTGGGAGGCAGAGTAATTCGGCCAAGTGTGGTCTCATGACCACATCATTTTCAAGCACTCACCTAATTCTGCAATGATAAATCTGCTAGGACAGGGGTTCTTAATTTTTGTTGGGGCCTCGGCCCCAGGAAAATACACATTGCACATTGCACAAACACACGATTTTATGTTGCATGGGGTTCACAACTCTAGAAGCCAATCTACATCTCTAACCTCTCTGCTTAACAGTAACACCAGCTTCTGTTGAGCTCCTCCAGTGAAAGGGAGCCCACTACTCACAAGGAAGGCCATTATACTATTGAACTGTACTAGAAAAATAAGTTCTTCATATATATATATATACATACATACATATATACATACATATATATATTTCAGACGGAGTCTCGCTGTCGCCCAGGCTGGAGTGCAGTGGCTTGATCTCGGCTCACTGCAACCACTACCTCCTGGGTTCAAGCGCTTCTCCTGCCTCAGCCTCCAGAGTAGCTGGGACTACAGGCGTCCGCCACCACGCCTGACTAATGTTTGTATTTTTAGTGGAGACGGGATTTCGCCACGTTGGCCAGGCTAGTCTGGAATTCCTGACGTCAGGTGATCCGCCCGCCTCAGCCTCCCAAAGTGCTGGGATTACAGGTGTGAGCCACCGCCCCTGGCGTTCTTTATATTAAATCAAGTTCTGCACACTGTAATTTCCACCCATTGGTCCGAGTTCTCCATGGCAAATCGGAAAAATTGTGTTCTCGCCTGTAAATGACATCTCTTCCTCTCTCTCTGAAGACTGTTTCAAACTAAGAAATGTAGATGATTCGCCATGCAAATTGTTTTACTGTACATTGTCACAAAGTTCTACCACCTCACTCCTAATCTGCCAAATAGCCAAATGTAGATGCTGAAGTTCAAATAAGCACACTGCTATTGATCTGCATGGATCTAGGTTTTGCAAAGAGGAGAAGTGCTGTATATAAATATCTTGAAAGAACAGCATAGTATTTTGGGGAAAGCACCGCATTCAGAATCAGAAGACTGGAAGTAATACTCCGTCTCCTATTCCAACTACCTGCGCATCCTTGGGCACGTCACTTCTCTCGGCCTGGTTCTCTTCTGCAAAATGCGACAAGAATACAGTGAGGATTAAGCGAAATATTTGTAAGCTTCCAGGGCAAGGCTGGCACATAGCAAATTTTCAACCAACGCCAGCTCCGGTGCTCAGCAAGCTCCGAGTTTTATTCGATGTGCTCGACGCTCTTTGTCGAACGGGATTCCCCCTCCGGAGCCTGAGTCTGCGCTCTGGGCTCGACTGAGGCTCCCTGGCCGCTCGCGCTTTTCTCTCCTTCTCCAAGATGGCGGCAGTCGGCGGCGCTGAGGCGGGATCCGGGCGAGCCGAGTGAAGGTAGCGGCGAGCGGAGCCCCCAAGAGGCCGGGCTGGGCCCCCACCCAGAGGCGGCAGCAGCCCCGCCCCCCCGCCACCCGCCGTCCTGGGCCCGCGACACCGCCTCTGAGGCGCCCCAGGCCCGTCGCGGCCTAGCCCAGGGGCCGAGCCGGGGACTGAAGTAGCGGCCGCAGCCGCCCCCAGGAAGCGGCTGGAGCGGGCAGAAGGAGGAGGGCGGGCGGGAGCTGTTCAAATGGGGAAGGCGGGAAAGCTGCGGGGCCGGGAGGGGGCGTGCGGCCGCCCTGGGGGCCTGCGGACCCGGTGCGCCCCTCCCCCTGCCTGGGCCGTCTCCGCCTTCGGGGGCGCCGTGAGGCCGCCGGGGACGCAGGAAGCCGGGTCCAGGTCGAACTGTACGGCTCGGAACTCGCGATGCGAGGGTCCCGGGGGCTGTCAGGGGGAAAGGGCCCGGGGCCGCGGCCACGGGAGGGCTGGGGCCGCGGCTGGCAGGAGAGGGTACGAGGAGCTTTCTTCTTTTCCTCTTCACAGAGCTTTGTTGAAGTAGCTGTTGCCTCAAAACTGCCGGGAGAAACCCACTGGTTTGCCGTGGGGAACCACAAAAATGGTGGTCCCGGGGGCAGATGGTGTAAATCACCTGGTATTGTGTGTATTCTTTGCGTGCAACCCGGCCTGGCCGTGCCTTCATGGTGGGAGCCTTCTTCATGCAGGCCCATTTTCCCTCCACAACTACTACTTGTAGATTCACTTTATAGCGTGCAGAAGCGGAGAAACATCTCTGTCCCCTCTTTCTGAGGGCTAACTGGTGGCTGATTATATTTCCTCCTAATAGAATACATTAAAAAAACTGAATCCCAAATAAAGCCTGTTGATTGGACAAGGCTTGTCCAAATTTCTGTTGCTCGTCTTTCGGAATGTGTGTTGTCAGCCGATCTGTTCGGTGGTCGTGGTTCCGGTGAATTGCACTGCAGTGAGAGGATTCCATCCCCATCCCAGACTGGGGATCTCTGCAGCTTCCAGAGCTGGCAGGGGCTGGGAGTGCTGCCTAGGTAGGTCCCCGGAGAAGGGAGTGACAAGAGGATTCGGAGCCGCTGTGTTCGGAGACTGGAGGAAACCTGGACGAAAATGAGAAGGCATCACTTGCTTGTATCCTAGAAGTAACAACAAGAAAATTTCAGAAATTGGCAACCAGTGGATGCTCATCTTCCTTTACCTGCACTGACTGGCATTTTGAGTTCTTGAAAGGAGTGATGGAAGAAGAGAACGCAGAATCTTGGACAAGGCTCTCATCCTGGAACAGACCTGGATTTCAGAATTTCTCTCACTGGCCCTTTGGTGGGACTCCCTTTGTTTCCTTTTTTTCGATACTTATTCACATTATGGGATGAAGAAGCTAACGTTAGTGATTGCAGGAGCTCACCTTACCTCAAAAAAACAACCATCTGAAACCTTTTTTTAGTATTATTTGAAGTTTCAAAATAACAAAGATTTGTTGTTATAATGATTTCAAAGTCATATCTGATGATTTTTTCCCCCTGATTACTTTGGACATCCCAGATGAACATAACTTGTATACTTGTCTACAAGGGAAAGAGCAACTCTGCTGCCTCCTTTTCAGATTCGGAAGAAAAGTCCCCGAAGAGCTATTTGACAGTTTGTATATAAGTATACATTTTGATGGTACCAGTTTTGTGCTTGTATCACCAGTATAAAATAATGAACTTTTACCTACGTTGTCATATCTTACCACACTGAGACACAGTTATTCCTGCCTCCTGGAATTGACAACATTGAATTTTATAAACTCCCAAATTATTGAATTGAGAATGGGTTTCAGCACCTGTTTCACATTTGCCAACATTTAATGTAATTATGACCTCCCTTTTCTAATGTGAAAAACCTAGTATTTTTCGTTTCCATTAATCCTCACAATCTACTCTCTACCCCTGAACTCTGAATTTTCACGGATCATATTCAAGACCTGGGAGGAATATCAGGGGTTCATCTGATCTCATATAAATGTTGCCTAACCTCTGGCTTTCTTTCACACTGTTGCTTGAGGTTTATCTGGTATCTTTCTTCTATGAGTCAACAACCAAAACTAAACCCTGAGTTGCAATAATATCCTGATTTTAAAGAACCTAGAAATTCAAGGCCCAGCAGTCTGCCCAAGCTGTGAGTGATATAGTCTGTGTTTAATTTTAGTTTTTCAAGCTTTTGGCTGTCCAGTTCTTTAGTGAACTGGACTTGTCTTCAGGCCTCATTCATATTTTTTCTTCAGGTTATTTAATCCAGTAATTAATAAAATGCATTTCAGTGTTTTTAAGAAAATTAAACAGTAGCAGACCTAATCTAATATGTAATGCTAACACCACATTTTCTGTGTTGCTCTGTGCCTCTGAGAAGCAGTTCCTAATTTTCTATTCCCTCTCACAACTTTTTAATCCACTAGTTTTTTAAAGCAGTCAGTAGCGAGACCACAATACAGTCATCTTCTTATACTGTCTTCAGAGGTACTTCTATTCTGTTAGGTTGCCCTACTATGTTTTATGTTGATTTCGATGTCACCAAAGGGAAGGCCTGTTTATAAGTCTCAGGACCAGCCTTTGCTTATATTTACAAGTGCATTTTGTTGACAACATTGATGGCTGTATTTATGACATTTAATATTTAAGATTTTGCTATTATTTCTCAAATATTCTTGCCAAAATTCATGCACAGAAAGCGTTTAATTTGAGGTCTCCAGTGGTAGTTCTTGGCATTATCAGCGTATGAAAATCAATATCATCTGTATATTTTTCTTATGAACTCAGTATTTTAGTGCCATTGAGAGGATATGCTGTTTTCAAGTAAATGGATGTAATTCCCTATATTTCACTTCTCCCTGCACCCCTTTTGGAGTTAGCACCACTTGGGTGGAAAGGGGAAAACAGTAGTTTCCATTGAGAAAGTTGGAACATGAAATACTGGCTAAATTATTTATCTTGCCTCTTTGCATTTTTATCTGAGGGCTGACCTTATGTCCCTTTCATTTCCTATGAAAAGGCCCTTCAAACAGGCGGTTCTCCAGTTTATCTTTAAAACCATCCAGGTTAATGTTGTTCTATTACTCTAGCTTCTCTTACTTTGACTAAATCCATTCTTTATTTCACTTCTCAGAGAAGGGAAGAAATGTTTTTTTATGTTTCTTTTCTTAATGTCACTTATGAATCATTCTTGGTAATGCTTCATTTTCCTGTTTTCATTTTAGGCCTACCTGTACATTGTATTTTATCTGATTTGTGCAAATAAGTCTTTTATTTTTTTAAAAAATGTAACTCTTAGGAAAGTTTTCCTTGTTAATCAAATTCATCTTTTCTTTCACGAAAGTTCCATGCTTCGGTATTGTCTACAGCTACCTGAAGGAATTAGTAATGTGTAATTTAAGTGTCCTTCAGTATTTCTAAATCCCCTTATAATAATGAAGGTAAATTTAAATAAATGATCAATTAGATTAACTTTATAATCATTTGACTTAATTGGATAGAACATTTCCAAAATATTTAATATATAATTTTAAATTTCCTGAAGGACTTGTGACATTGCTTGTTCTTAAGACATTTAAAGAGCTTTATCTTACATGCATTTTATAGCATTGTCCTCTTCAGTCAAGATGGGCATATAAACTGAAATGCCAAAAAATGCTCTAAAAATTCAATACAATAACTAGAACATTTAAATTATATCAGTTATTATTAGTGAAGATCTTAATAATCATAAAAGTTTTATGACCAGTGGACAAATGATAGATATCTCCCTGTTTTCACCCAGCCTTTAAGAAATTCTTGGTGGTGATGAAAGCTGTCATATGGTCAACTGATGTAAGGAGTGTTCCTGCTTTTACAGTTAGATAAATTTGAACAAATTCACGTAGGCCCCCAAAAAATGCAAAAGAAATTGTGCTCTGAAGATATTTAATATCCCTATACAGTTAATCATTTCTGTTTAAATTGCAAAGCAATAGATGTTACCATTTCACCCATTCAGTTGGTAGGATTTTATGGTCTTCAGTGTTTGGTGTGATCTGTCTTCTCTGCGCCTTCCTTTACCTTTGTATTTTTTAACCATGATTGAACCTATCCCTCTAACTTAATGTTGGTTTCTACCCTGTCTCAGTGTTGTCAGTCCTGTTGGCATTTCAGAAATTCTCATTAATTCTGAAAATACTTTTTATTTTGGAGGTATTTTATATACTTCCCCCAATGACAACTTTAATTCATGACTGAAATCTAATTAAGCCTAGTGTACTTCCTGCAGTATCAACCCCAGTATATTTACAAAGAGAATGAGGAGGTGACAAGACACTCCTTTATTTCTTGCTGCCCTTCCAGTCGGCCCTTGGATCACTACGCATTTCCATCTGGAAGGTTGCTTCTCCACAGTGATTTCGCATTACAGGAGGGTTTTCCTTCTTTGTTTCTCAGACCTGGCCCTGTAGACGGGAAGGAGACTGGACACAGTGACACATTCTCAAAGGCCCTGCAGGACCGCCATGGCTTATGATGACTCCCTGAAGAAAGAAGGTATGACCCCATAATCAGAAGCATTCCAAAGGGGGTGTCTTCTTCAATTCTTGCAGCCCATGGATGTAGAGACCAGGACTGGGCACCACAGCCTGGATGCCCAAGTGATGGTCCAGAGCACTGTTATGACACTCAGCCTCCACGCCATCCCCAGACTGGGCCCATGGAAACGAAAACCAGGACAGGGGTTCCTACATGAGAGTCTGAAATATGAGTCTTTTAGTTTATTGGGGTGATCCCCTGCAGCACTCTTGGTCCTTGCCAGCTCCAGTGTGCAGGAGTCTGGGGATAGGAATCACATACTGGACTCCCACAGAGCAGCACAGCACAGCACATGAATCCTTATTCTTTTCAGCCTTTCCTCCGCAAGTCTGTGTCCACCTACCAAATCACAACTAAGAAACCATGTCTCAGGTTGCACATGGGGCCTTTGCATAGCATGGAAACATTGCTTCTTCCGGTTTGATTCTTGTATTTGCAGCCAGATCACCAAGAAATACTTTGTTCCCCTGGGTCTAGCCCTGTATTTCAGTAGACTATACTGAAACATTGTTTTAATTTGGAAATAGAGGGACTGTTGCATTATGTGCATGGTGATTTGGGCATTACTTACTTGACTTTCTCATTTCCTTTCTTAAATAAACCTGTGCTTCTCAGATTGTTTTGATGGTGATCATACCTTTGAGGACATAGGACTTGCCGCTGGCCGAAGCCAACGAGAAAAAAAACGTTCTTACAAAGATTTTTTAAGGGAAGAAGAAGAAATTGCTGCTCAAGTCAGGAATTCTTCCAAGAAGAAGTTGAAGGTAAGTCCTGAAATTTTAAATTAGGAAAGTTTTAAATTACTCTTTTTTTTTTGGAGGCAGAGTTTTTTTGCTCTTGTGGCCCAGGCTGGAGTGCAGTGGCACAGTCTTGGCTTACTGCAGCCTCCACCTCCTGGGTTCAAGCGATTCTCTTGCCTCAGCCTCCTGGGACTACAGACATGCGCCACCATGCCTGGCCAGTTTTTGTATTTTTAGTAGAGACAGGGTTTCACCATGTTGACCAGGCAGGTCTCGAACTCTTGACCTCAAATGATTCACCTGCCTCAGCCTCCCAAAGTGCTAGGATTACAGGCGTGAGCCACTGCGCCCATAAAGTCTTA